TGTTGTGTAAATCCTTCCACAAATGTGGTAAATCGAAATAAATTAGGCATAAATTTGGATACTCTGTGGATTATCTACTTGACAGATGAGAGGGCGGTCCCAGAGTGGTTATTTCTGGTCATACCGTAGTTGGTATTTTCTTCTTTATGTATGATAGTTATTGCTTTATTCCAGTTTATTACAAATATTTGAGTATTGATTTAATTAACAGATGATCCCGAACCTCCTGAAATTAGTAATAAAGTCGAGAGATGTATTAAAGTTGAGATAAATGAATAAATCAGCTGAATGATAGATGAGCTAAGTTGGATTTTGATGGACTTATTTACATAAGGACTGTAGGAGGTATAAAGAACACAAATGTTTGCCATCATTGTACTTAACCAAGCAAACTTGGTTTTATGGATAATGTCTTAGATAATGCAAAATATGATGGAATAAGTTCAGCTCACTTCTTAGTTTTATGGCAACAAATTGTAAGAAATAAACTCTTTGTTAACTTGCTGCAGTGTACATGTATATATGATGGAATGGATGTACTTAATCGTGTCATTGTCTTATAATGATTCTTTTACATAGAATCTGCAAACTAGATCAGAATGAAAGTTTTTGCTTATTTTTTTTTAAACTAGATATGGAGAATATCCTGAAGGTAGTCAACATCTTGACATGCATGATACAAGTTTATGTTGGGTCGCTTGTTCCCTTTGAAGCTTAGAATGTTTGTTACACATACTTTGCAAGCAGCAACTGTATACAGTGATTCTAATAGGTGGATCATAATTCTATGCTTGCTTGAAGTGATAGCTGTTGTAAAGCTACTGAGAAGAATATTATTTTGAATAATATTCAATGTGTTTTAGTCCCTCTCGCTGACTTTAAAATGTGTGGGTGTATTGTGTACAAAATGCAGCCACTGTGGTGTTATACTGTGAGAGGTAAGAGTGATGCTTTAGTTCAATTTGTAGAAGACAGCAGTTTGCCCTACAGGTTGTCTATCCGACTCTAACGTCTATTATTTTTCAAATTTATTCTTCATTGGATAGCTTTAAACAATGTTTTTTGAGTTGACAGGACTGACTGAGTGTACTTGCTCCAGTTAAGTGCGCTGTGCTCAGTACCTATTTGACACGAAATAAAGTTTTTTTATTATCAATGACTTTTTTTGTGAAATGTGTCTGAAGTACATGTAAAGGTGACTAAGGGATTGCAAAAGAACACATAAATCTTAGATTTAATAACAGCTTTCGGCTGTCCCTGTTTCCAATGAATTGTACATAATCCACTTATTGTTTGTGCAATGTAGCCTAAAGGTAGCTGATCATTAATAATCATCCAAGCACTCTTTCTTAAGTCTGACGTTAATGTTAGGTAATTACTTAGGACTAATAGGTCAGACATTCATTTACATATCTGGTGACTGGTGCATTTATATATCTGGTACACGCATGCTGCCACCACTTCACACTTGTGGAACTGGCTGTGCAGGGAAGACGTCCTCTTCAACTTTGCAGAAAGGTAGGCTATGTTGTACCCTATGCGTTGTAAAGATAGACTAAATATGATAACCCATTAAAATGTGGACTATTAGATTTGAAGTTTTGTGTTCCAAGGCGCACCCCTAGATGAAAGAATTAGGCATATTTTATCAGCTCCATCCTGTATATGTAGCATTCAGCATGTACATATGTATATACTCGCGCTTAATTTGTTTCAAAACTAAACGAACATTAATAGCGTGTAGCGCGCGCGCGTGCGTGTGTGTGTGTGTGTGCGTGCGTGCGTGTGTGTGTGTGTGTGTTCGGAAAGTCGTTTTTTGTATATGTACGTTTGGAAAACGTCTTCATGTTACTTGCTTTTCATATTGGAGTCTGTGTGCATACGTGGCATTTTGGAGTTTAGGATATACGTACATGCGGACAGCTAATCTTGTCTGTGTCCAGGAATAAAATCGCAAAATAATAAAAGTTTGATTTTCCTTGGCCTCCATATATGATCCCATTCCTTCTCGTCTTGTTTGATTGATTCTTTGATCCTAATTTTGCTGAACAGTGCGTACAATATTACGTTGGCTCAATACTCTGCCAATATGTGGAAAGCACTGTTTTCACTGTTAGTACTGGTTTCTTTGGGGTGTTGGGCTGGCACAAAAAAGATACCAATCCAGAAACCTGAAGCCCGATGAAATTTGGTCAAAGCCCAAGCCTCTGCTTGGAGAGTTTCATGCACATAAGGGTTGTGCAGCTTGAAGCCCCAGAGACGCCACAAGGTTAACTACTAACGTAAACGACATTGCGTTCGGCTCGGAACCAAGAGGTCTCGAGTTCGAATCCTGCCATGCCACATGTCACCGATCTTGTGCCCTTGAGAAAAGAATTTCCTCACATTACTCAGGTGAAAATGACCATGTCTGTTGCGCGAGTTCATGCGTTTGTCTTCATTGGTGGTGGCATAAAAGTAAGTTGAAAAAAACTTGAGTGTGCCGTGCCATGTCTTGTACTGATTGTTGGAATACAAAAAAAGGTTAATTACATGTAGGATTTTTTAGGTAGGCATTCACTGTGTAAACGTTGACAAATACCAATCGTCTGTGAAGCCTGTACAATGTAAATATTGCTATCCGACAATCTGTCATGGATCAATGTCAGTAGACACCCGTTGAACAGGTCTGGTCTCATTCTTCACTGGTGCCACTTTTGTAACTGACTAACACAAGTTTAGTTACGCATCAGGGCAGTACCAACATACCCTAAACACTTTTGTTTGAGTGCAAAGTGCGTGGTGTGGAAACGTTACTGGTGACTGACTTTTAGTGTGCTCTGTCGACTCTTCCCAGGCCGACGTGTGAAGATGGCAGCAACCCGCCATCTGGTTCTGCTCAGCCTCCTTCTGGGCTCAGTGTTGGCATCCCAAAAGCAGGTTGGTTCCCTCTGTTTGTTCTGTGAAAGTTTTCCATTGTCAATGGCATCAACGTTTACTTTATTTTGACAAGAAACGTCAACGTTTGTGAGCAAGGAATGTTTTGAATACAGCGTACAATATAACGTTTGTAAGATACTCGTACAAAATAGCAAGCATTCAAGTCGAAAATATCGCTAGCGCTCTGTATTTCATGATCAGTCTAGCAGCATCACGGCAAGAGTATCAAGAATACTTTATTCACTACGACGTGATATGCTGTTGTGTGTGTCATTTAGGACTTCAACCATGGAGACTCTGATGATGAGGCCGACGAAATACCACAAGTTCGTCTCAAGAGATCGGAAAGCCTTGAAGACATCTTCGAGGAGCTGATGGAACTTTTGGACAACATGGAGTCAGAATCACAGGTCAATATTTCAACCTTTCCTCAGAACATCTCATTATCATAGCTTCATCCCCTACATCGATTCCATTTACCGTATAACCTAAGCATACTTACGCCAAAACAGTTACTCAAGCAACTGGATATGATTTGAAAAACGGTCAGACTACCTTTCGTCAGTGACACTCTGTCGGTCTGCACGTCACAAGAACTCACCAATTCCTTATTTAGTTGAACTGTTAAACGCCAAGTAATCAATACAGTACTTGCGCTCAGACTTCACTTATCTATCGGGTCTGCAGTATCTCGTACACTGAGTGACCCAGCGGCACAGACGTCTTCTCTTCTGAGTGTTATGATATATTTTAATCTGTAATGTTGATGTAATGTATTATACTTGTAAACGAATATTGTAATGAGCAACACAATTCAGACTTAAGTCTGCGAGTTGTTTAATAAAGACTGAATTGAATTGAATTGAATTGACACTGGAGAACTATTGTAAGATAGGTGATATTTCGTGAATTTGTTTAGGACGAGAGAATGGTCCAGGCTGAAGCGACGGTGGACCCCAGCACAGGCTGGATGAAGGATGACTATTCCAGTAGGGGCATTGATGAGGACGACGAAGCTCAACTGGAGGAAGACATGCACTGGTGTGACAGCGTCGACGGCGGATCTGTCCTAAATCTACTGCTGAAGAAGGTACACGTCGTCGTATGTTTTAGGGGCCTCTACCAGGCATCGGGAGGCGGCTAGAAAGAGTAGAAATCGGTCAAATAGAGGGATAACATGCCGAGGGACTTGGTCCGCTAGAGAGTACATTTTCGGGTGCGGCAAAATATACTGTCTAGCGGACCAACTCCCTCGGCATGTTATCTTTCTATTTGAACGATTTCTACTCTTTCCAGCCGCCTCCCGAAGCCTGGTAGAGGCTAATGTTTTAGAGTTGTTGGTGGCTCTATTAGCTGAAGAACAAAACTCTTATTCAGCGATCTTGCAAACAATTCTGATAAAATTTCATCGTTTTAAAAGGGTTCATTTCGAAGACGGGGGTTTTGTTTTTATGGTCATGAGCAGAGGAGTTTTTTTTCCACAAATATTTCAGACTCATGTTACGTTTGTTGCGTGCAGGTTGAATTGCTTTTCACTTGTGTATCGGGCCGAAGGAGTTGGTCCGCTAGAGTACATTTTTGGGTTTCCCGGTATATACAAATAGGATGGCATCCAGGCTAGATAAGCGGTACTAAAAGACATAATGACTAAGATGTGTGTGTTTGTACCACAGGGAGTGCACGAACGCCGTGCAATCGTCCCGGGGTGGAATGACAAATCACGATGTGACTACCACGAGTGCTTCAAAGATATCAAGGTCGGTAAACATTCAAGTCATCCTCCCACACCCATCAGAAACTACTGCATGAATCTGTAGTGCTATATGTAGGGCGCGCTTCAAGCGCTGAAACGTGTTCCCCAAGACATGACAATTTTGAAACAATTTTGATAGTTATGCGTGCGAGCGCTTTGAACACTGAACCGCTGCGATCTACATCATATTCAAAACTTTACCAGACATCAATAGTGCTCTCTGCTACTACTACCTGTTGTATAAATGCGACCTTTTTGTGAAAGAAAAAAAAAACATGTGACATAATGTGGCTACAGTGGGGAAGTGTGGGAAATAGTCATTGTGAAATTTATCGGAAATGTGAAATGATATGTGGATAATTGCTAATTCAACTTGAAAATTGGAGCGGAATGATTACCAGAGAAGACTGATTGTCTCAGGCAGACGTGGTGAAAAATATGGGGAAAGGCTTTAAAGGGTTATCGCGCAATCTTTTAAGAACTGCGACACGTGAAATTATGTGGATAATCTATAATCATGGAGTCCGAAGTACCTGAGACGTGGAGCGGACTGATTGGTGGAGAAGTGGACGTTGTTTGATTGATCAGACAGTGAGAAATTAGGACAAGGACACAGATAATGATGCCTAAATGGTGCAGCATTTAGCGTCCAGGATTACTCTTTGGTGTCTCCATTTCATAATTCAAGTCACATTTCCCCCAAGTTATCCCTTTCACATAATTTTTTGTAGGTCCACCATTTCACATCTCTGCCGAATTCAAATGAAGGCTATAACCTGGCTGGCAGCCCTATTTTAGCTGCGGATTTTTTTTGTCCCGTCCGCAAATTTTCACAGAGAGTACAAAAGTGACTCGGCAGTTAAAATAGGTCTGGTAATCAGGCTACATGAAGGCCATATTTATGCCACTGATACTGTCGACTATGTATGTAAATCTGTATCTGTATCTGTATAGCCGGTATAACCGCCTTTCGGCGTAACACACCAGCTTCGCAGGCACGCGGCGCGGCGGCAGCTGGCTATATTACACCGATCGACTTGTTACACCTAACCCTTGAACTTCTAGCTCTAGACATTGTTTAAAGCTATCTATTGACAGTGCCCCTACTGTACTTGGTGACAGTGAGTTCCACTCTGCGATAGTTCTAGGAAAGAATGAATTCTTGAACACCTCAATCCTTGGTTGATAACTCTGGTACTTGGATGCGTGGCTATTTCTTGTTCTCTTCTGGGCTGGTATTAGGTACTTAGTAGTTGGGACATCCACCAGTTTATTAGTCATTTTGTACATCATGCATAGTCTAGGCATCTTTCTTCTGTCTTCAAGTGAGGTCCACTGTAGGTTTCTTTTCATTTCCGTGACAAATCTGACATGCCAATGTGACTATGTACTAGTATATAACTTCAATGATCTGATCATATTAAAAATTTAGAATAAAATGTCCGTATCTCGCCCAGACTTGGCCGGCTGTGCCCTACTACCTTCTGAATGACGCCAACTTCCTCATCACCTGGCCAACCAGATACATCAGGGTGTTCTACATCTTCAACTACAACTTCGTAAGTTCCACATATCTTGAACGTGATCTCTATCTTACTACCAACTTCTGATACACCATACCATACCCAAGACGCAATGTGCTGGGGTTAGGGCTGACAACCCGCGTGGCCTTTACCTTACCTAGTACCTTTGTGCAGCCAAGCGATCACATGTGCGTGCGAAGGAACTATAATATATGTTCCCTCAGGCTTAGCTGTTTTGTCAGCACAACACACCCAATAAATTATAGGTTCTGGTCAGTGTAGGACAATTAGACATTATCTTACGTCAGGTAAGATTTATGCAGTCAGAGGTTCTATAATATATGCTCCCAGCTGCTTTGTCAGCACAGTATACCCGATAGACTCCAACTTCTGGCTACTGTTAACATCTTGTGTATTTGTGTAACAACTTCAGTGTTCTACTTGAATACACCGAAAGGTCTGGACTCCATTTGAGTGTAAAGTGAACTATGCACGTTAATAATAAAGTGTGTTATATCTCAAAGCATTGCACCAGTTAGTTATCAACTTTAATGGCAATTGTAACACTTAAATTTCTTGTACCACTTCGATATTGTGAGCCTTTATAATAACAAAAACTGCTTTTAAGCCATGTAAAAGAGACGTTGAATTTTTAAGCTGTACGAAATGCTGAATAAAACACTCTTGTTTGTCTACATTCAGTACAATATGATGAAGCAGAACATATCCGCTGTAGAAGACTACGCAATGGAAGCTGTTGCAGTCCTCGACAAGGTACGTTTGATCACACATGACAAGTGTTTTGAATTGAACGACATAACTTGCATTTTCTGTTATTAAAGAGTTTCCAAAGCCTTTAACGTGAAAATGGATACATAATACTGTGTAACTCTTTGTCTTAATTGACCCTTCTCGGCATCATCAAGTAGCTGAGTACAAGTGAATACAGCAATGTTCGAAAGTTTTGGTCTCAGTTTGCACATGTCAAGGAGGATTTATAATCATCCTTACACATTCTAATACTGAATTGAATGAGTGGCGTAAATACGAAATCCGTTACAATCTTATTTTCTTTATGTCTTGAAGAAAATTAAATTGTTCTCCAACTCAAAAACGAAATTAACTCACCAGAAATTTTCGACAGCTTGATTTTCTTCATGTATGTTACCAACTCAACTGAACTTTCATGCTAGCCTTAATGTCTTGCTGTAGAAATGTGCTATATATATATATATATATATGACGATCATCTACGTATATTGTGCCCCGACCACTTTCAAATCTAAACCTTTGGGGTCGTGTTGCGTAGCGGCAGCATGCTCGACTCGGAATCAAGAGGTCCCGGGTTCGAGTCCTGACATGTCACCGATCTTGTGTCCTTGGGAAAGGCACTTTACACGACTTTCCTAAGTATTGTCTTGTCCTGTATTTGTCATCTGCGTTGGCATAAAACAAGTTGATATAACTTGAGTGTGCTGGCACCATGTCTAGTCATGAAATGTTGGAATATAAAAATCTAAACCTTGTCGTCAACGCAGGCTTACAGACCCATCAACTTCCGTGTGCTGCTGGTAGGAGTGAAGGTTTTGACGGAGTACTGGCCCGGGGAGGGTCCCCGTCCAAACTACAACGACTTTCTGAAGCCCAAAGTACGAGAGTACATCTGGAACACCATCAGGCCCGAGTCGCCGACTTTCCACACCGCTGTTTACATTGCGTAGGTTTATTATGTCTTCGTACAAGTTAAGGCGCGGTCACATTTCCCAACCCGGGGCCCGGCCGGGCAGTCGTTTGGAACGAAATTTATGATATAAGACAGCAAAACACAAAAAAAGTTTTAGAAAATTAACCACGGGAACTATTTGCGTATATTACTGATATAGATGGTTGATTTTTCGTTAATCGAAACAACCCGGCCGGGCCCCGGCTTGGAAATGTGACCGTGCCCTTACCACGTTTAGTTACCACGTTTAGAGTATTCGCCAAACCATACTCTGTGTCATTTGTTCAACCATGTAGATTTCATAATGAAAGCCACTTTTTTTGGCCAAACTTTTTTTTATTCGCATGCTCGCATGAGCTTTGGGGTTCCCAGAGTCAACATGGCCTAATGTCCCAATGATGGTTATTTTACTTTGTCCCTTGTAGTGGTCCTCCTCACTGGGACGCGCCGTATGCCGGAGCCGGGATGGGCCATCTCTGCAAAGTCAACGGAATGAACGATTTTCCATATGTGATGGCTGTAAGTATGTTTTGCAGTCATAGTAAGTACATAGCAACAGTAAAATAGGAAAACAACTTTATATCAATATTTTCATTCCTGTAAAGAGCAGACAGCAATCTAACCAAGCAGTTGTTTTTGCTTAGCATACCAAATAGCACCAAATTCTGATTTATATTTCTTAATGTCATATATTGAAGACTTCGAATTACTTTTTACCCATACAGGCTGAAGGCAACACCAGACCAGCAAATCACTACTGGAATGCGCATGAGCTTGGTCATGAGTTTCGCAATGGTCACAATTTTGGTAAGTGTAACGTTACATCTTCTGAACTTTGCGAACTTTTTACAGCACATAGATAGCATATTTCATACCAAGCTAGATCTAATAAACTGATAAAGAATAGAAGATAAAAGTCTAATGTTTATCTTCGAATGACATGTAACTGGTTCATGATGACTCCCTTTACCTAAGTTTATTTGTCCCCATCGTCTGCGTTGAATTTATACATGTTTTATATTAGATCCTAGCGACGGTGGCAGTTCTGTCTGTCCAGCCAAGCGACTTTTCGGCACTAAATGTGTGATGGGAGGAAACAGGTGAGTAAAGTCTATCTCGTCGTACTAGGATCCCACAAATTTCTTTGTTTCTCATCTTTGCGATTTTATTTCTCATCTTGCTGTTGTTGGCACAGTGCTTGTCAATGAATAATGTGCCATTTTGTTCAAGCCATATAAAATGGATTTTTGAACTTTTTTTCTCAGTTATCCGACAACCTTCAGTAGCACGTTTCTTGATAAGATCAAGGCCACCGACTACAGCTGTATGGAAGACAAACCAGCACAGGTAAAGATCTTTCCGTCTTGGAATTCACAAATCCTGAAAACCAGTCCAAACTGGTACTTCTCAACGTCTATCGTTTTTTGCATAGGATCCCATGTTTTATTTTATATGTCCTGTATGTAGCCTTTACCGACGTAAACATTAGTGAACTCTCAAGATGACATGATTACCCTGATTCGTGATAACAAGTGTTGTCCTGTACTTTGAATGGGGATTTAAACTGATACTAGTTCGTCACTGTATTGTAATTGAACTACGCTTTCGTTTGGTTAAAATTAATGTGACCTGGTCTTATCCAATGATTGTTCTGCACACAGGAGGACGTGTTTAAGTGTGGAAACGGGATTCTCGATGCAGGGGAGGAGTGCGACTGTGGGAACAGCCAGGTTCGAGTGGTTTCATCTTAATACCGTCGACTAGACTAAGTTCAAAGGGAAAAGAGGTTCAACACTTTATTAAGATTTTTTAATCCCATCAACGAGTACGTAGATGCCAGATTACACTTAGTCTTAGCTTTTTGTTTCATTGATCCAACACCTGTGCATTTTACATAGTTGCTGTTAATGTTTTATATCTGTAGATCATCTTTTCAGTGTTCGATATGATCTTAACACACCTAAAATGCCTCTTATTTCTTGATATACACACGTGTGTCTTGCCATCGTTTTATTTGCCCTTCAGAGCTGTAAAACCAGCGACCCCTGCTGTGACGGTCAGATTTGCAAGTTGAAACAGAACGCCGAGTGCAGCTCCAACAGCCCTTGTTGTAACAACTGTAAGGTGGACCTCAACAGCTGTGACGATGACATCAAGGGGAGAGTCAAACGCGCGACAGATCCAGCAAACATCCGTGAGCGTCAAACATTTGTTGGCATTGTAGAAAAACAATCATTATATGTACTCTGTATAACCAGTATAAGCTCTCTTCAGCAAGTTTCTCTGTACATTGTCTATGAATGTAAACCCCTGTTTAAAGCTATGCAGTGAGGATAATACCCTACTTGGTGGCAGCGAATTTCACTCTACAATTATATAGATCATCTTTGAACATCTCAATCTTTGGTTGATAATTAAAGCCCAGATCGGCAAACATGAGGCCATGGCTATATGATTATGTACAACTAATGTATTACCTGCATCAGGAAAAAAATGACTGAACTGCGTTTCTTTTATTAGAATCGTACAATCGCATCGATATCCCACCCGGAGTACTGGTGCCGTTTCCTGCCGGGACCACCACGCCAAGGAACCGAGTCTTCAACTGGCTGTTCGAGGCACCGGCGGGTCTGCATGTCACCCTGTCGCTGGCTATTCCTCTGTTGGTAAGTACACCTGTACATTTTTAACCACGAAACCCACGTTTTTTTTATTATTCCAACATTTCATGACTAGACATGGTGACGGCACACTCAAGTTGTATCAACTTGTCTTATGAGAGAGGCATGATTAAAAAAGAAAAAAGTAAAAATCCGAAAGTGTGGGTGGCAAACTACAATTGAAAATGTGGGAAAGAGTTATATGTAAATTTGTTCGAATATGACTATGAAATCATATGGATAATTCATAATTAGGGAGCTCTGAATGAAACGTGGTGGGGAAAGATTAGAAGAGAGAAGAGCGTTGATTGTCCCAGACAGAAACAGTGGAAAAATTGAGAAAGACATCAAAGAGTTATAATTGTGCAATTTTCTGGGATGTGAAGCATATAATCATGGGAATTATCCAAAATTATGGAATCACGTTTATCTGAGATGTGGAGATGAATGCTTGGTGGAAAAGTGGGCGTTTTTTGTCTCAGACAGATCCATCATTTACGGAACAGTGAGCATTTAGGGCAAGGACATATATTGGTGGCAAGGTCGTCTTGAGGTTAGGAGTCAGCATCCGAAAGTCTGGGCTCGAATCTGCCAGGTCCAACTGTTGTGTCCCTGGGAAAGGCGCTTAATACCTGTTTCCTCCCTCGACTCAGGTGTAAATGAGTACCCCGGTTAGGGACGTCCTCTCGGATAGGTGTGAGTGGTTCAAACTTCACAGTCTGGTTTGACATCTTGGAAAGTGGATAGTCACCTGTTATGTCAATCCTTCCACAGATATGGTAAAGCTTCATGAATAGATAAATAAATAAAATAAACACAACACAATCCATAATAGGGAAAATATCTGAATGAAGTGTAGCAGAATGGTTTCCCGAGAGGATACATTGCAGGAGAGTGTAAAATATTATGGTCATTATATTATATGGGAAAGACTTCAAAGGATCTTTGTGATCATCTTTTTTAAAAATTTGAAAGGTGGATACTCTATAATTACGGAAATATGTAAGGCATGGAGTGGAATGATTGGCAGAGAGGAGAGCGATGATTTTCTTAGTCAGACACAATGGCAAATATGGGAGTTATTCTGAAATTTTCCGGAAAACATCGTGAAGTCATATGTGCATAATCTATAATTGCATCAAAGACATCAAAGAGTAATTATAGGTGATTTTTTTCGGGAAATTAAATCGTGAAATTATATGTGGATAATTCATAATTGCTGACATATGAGACGTGGAGCGGAATGATTGGCAGAGAGGAGAGAACTGACTGTCTCAGACAGACAGACACGTGCACAATGGGAAATATGGGACAGACTTCAAAGAGTTATTGTGAAATTGCGAAGATTTTGCGGACAGTGAGCAATTAGGTCGAGGACGAATGTAAAGATGCCATAATGGTTGCGTTTAGCGTCTATGATGACTGTTTAGTGTGCCCATTTGACGATTCACATATCCCCAAAATTCGCATATTTCCATTTGTAGCCAGATCATTTTCCATCTATTGGTTTCATTTGTGAGTTCACATGATAGCGACAGTGAGCTTTGTGTTCCTTGGGATATAAAAAAGATTCTAATATTTGATCGCAGAATGCCGCAATGTACTGTTTGTATCTTATCCAAGCAAAGGATAGAAAAAACACCAGATACGAGTATACGTATACAAAGTAGTAATGGGTTACTTGTATTTAATTTTCCTCTGCAGGCGTCACCATCATTTGAAACTGCGGTAGGCTGTCCTTATGACTGGATCGAAGTTCGAGATGGCGGATACATGACGTCACCAGTTCTCGGCCGCTTCTGCACTCCAATGAGAAAGCCGATCGTGTAGGTTGATTTGTAAATCAAGCAGGGTGTTTTGACGTGATTGTTGCTTTTTTGTCAGTTCTGTTTTTACATTCCCTTGTTCCTTTCCATGCATCTTTCGATCCTCTTTGCGGGCACATGTCTATTTCACACCATAGCATACTATTGTTTCTCTTTCAGGTCGTCCGGCAACACGCTCCTAGTCACCTTCAGGAGTGACAATTCGTTCGACAGTCATTTCCTCATGAAGTACTCTTTCTACAGCACAGCCCTGTCAGGTAAGGTTTCCTTAACTCAATACAAACAAACAAACAAACAAACAAACAAACAATCAAACAAACATTCAGTAACAAAGATAATTGATTCTTCAATTTGCAACCGTATTTCATGAAAGCATCAGAAAGTTGGCTAAAAAAACATTTCCACGAAAATGCGATTTTATGCTGAGGCCACATTTCCAAACCGGGGCCAGGCCGGGCAGTTAACAGGAACGAAAAGTACAGAACAAAAGACAATTAAACACAAAAAAGTTGAGAAAATCCATCAGGAGCACTATCTGTCTATATTCTTGATATGATTTGTTCATTTTATGCAAACAGTCCAGCCGGGCCCCGGGTTTGAAATGTGACCTCAGTATGGAAGTGCAACAGGTGATATTATTTAACAGGTTGCCATCCTATTTTTATGAAAACAGCTGCTTGAATTGTTGGAAGAATCTTATGTTGTTGTTATTTTTGTAGGTCCGAAGTGGAGGGAGGACGGCAGATGTGGGTGGAACTACCCTGCAGCAGCGGCGGCGTCTGGACAGTGCGAATCTCAGGGAGAAACTCCCTGTTGTTTCTGGGACGGCCGCTGTAAAAGCAAAGATACAGACTGTACCTGCTCGAAATGTGTGGACTACCGAAATATTGACAATGCAGGTAGGTATACTGCTAAGTTTAACTCACACAAAACTGTTCCTTTAGACGGCGATATTATGAGCATTATAACAGCTTTGCATTTATGTGAAAAATTACTGTTTGCTAGAGTTTGATCTGTTAAAGAAGGACAGCACACTCCCTTCCCACATACCAGATGGGCTCCGGAATATTTTGGATTAAGAAAATATGTCCTCTGTGCATATGTAGCGTACATGCGTAAATATGATATTTACATAAAGCCATCTATATTGTGGAACCGTGTTCACTTCTGTCCGTAGGTTTGCCGACGAATCCCGTAAAAGCAACTGAGACACAGACTTTGGGCGGTACGTATACTTCAACATTAATAAGATTGTTCTGCTAAGAAGGTGAACTTCTAGGTTGCACACAGAAATTCTTCAATCTAGAACATAGTCTAATGCTGATACATGGCGATGAATGGCATGTCTCAAACACGGTTAAATCGGGAATAGAAAGTATATCATACACAAAGCTTGTCAGCTAGTAACTCTTACATGAATTGATATCATTTAGCATTTGTTTGGTACGTTAGGGCCCCGGTCTGTCCCCTACTGTCAAATGAACACAAATTGTCATTATGACGGTAACCATGCTTGTGTCTTGTAAAATTCAGCTGTAGCTGTCTTGTTACGGAAAAAAGTACTAGTATTAGATCCTTGCTGGACATTACTGTCACACTCACAGCCAGAAATTCTAGGGTATCAAAATTAAATGTGACCGCGCCTTCGCGTTTCCCTACCCACGTTAACTTTTGTTCTGCACAATTGCTTTATTGTACGCAGAATGCTATGAGGAAACGGGCGACACCTACCGTGGAACGGCGAGTACAACCATATCCGGAAAGGTCTGCCAGGCCTGGAGTTCACAGTCGCCGCAGCAGCACGGCTTCGACCCGGCCGCCTATCCAAACCTCGGCCTGGACAGCAACTACTGCAGGAACCCGGACCTCTCCACGCGTCCCTGGTGTCACACCACCGACCCGAAGAAACAGCGGGACTTCTGTATCATACCCAAGTGTACTGGGCTTGCATCTAGATCTGGTAAGCACATCGAGAAATAGGGGACTGAGGGGGATCGTAGGATATCATATCGGGTTATCTCGGTAAAAATTTCTTCTCAGTTTGGAGACTAGAACCTAACAGGCCAAAATAAACATACCTAAACATCGTGTAGCATAAAACTCCATGGCTTAAAGCGCAAAATATTGTTTTATTTTCACATTTGCAAGGGATAAATCCAGACAATAAAACAGCAAACAATCAGTAATGTAGACATTTTTCGTCCAACATTTGACAGAGTACGTCGGCTGCTACAAAGACACCTCTAGTCGTACGTTTCCGGCGGGCAGGATTCAGAACTACAATAACATGACGAACGCTTTGTGCATCAACCATTGCGCTGGACAGGGCTACACTTACGCAGGTACGTAAGTCGCCAACTCTTCACACAAACTAAACTCGCAGGCGTCAAGCAAGTTTTGAACAGACTTATATCATAAGGATGCACTTAATCTAACATTGCTACGGCTACCGCCCAGACTCCCAGAGTTATCACAAAGTCCCAAATCTTTTTTCCTAACATTTCTTTGGTACCGTACGGTACATTTTTATTCCTCCTTTTAATGATTTGACGTGGAAAAACTCTACGCTGAAAATCTGAGAAGGAGTGAAGCCGCATTGCGTCTGCTACTAGCTAAAACACCACAATTTACCTCAGCTGAAACTACTTTACCTTTTATTTTTTTTACAGTGACTCAATATTCTTATGAGTGTAGCTGTGGCAATGAGGCTAACTTCGCCCAACTGGAGCCCAAGCGGCCAGAGCACGAGTGTAACTTCAAGTGTTCAGGAAACCGTGAAGAAATGTGTGGCGGGAACTGGAGGAATTCTGTCTACAAACTTCCTGAAAAAGCATCCTCGGGTAGGTCTACTGGCGTTTTTTTCTCTTAAATGTAGTAGCAAGGGTAGAAAGCCACTTCAAAAGGATACATGAATAGGCCAGGGAAAGCATCCCTTCTCTCATGCAAGGTCCCCCACACGTCTGGCGTAGGGATCCCCCATTTCAGCACCAAGGACATCGCCCGATGGCGGGCAGGCAGGCAGGGGCGCCTGGCGGTCTAGAGTCAGCCGCTCGCTCCGATATCCTTTACGGGAAGAAAGGAAAGTCAGAGACAAACTCATCTCAAATCTCTGAACGTCTCCCCGCACGTCTGCTTTGGGGATCCCCCATTTCAGCACCAAGGACATCACCAGGTGGCGCGCGGGCGGGCAGAAAGAATCGCCTAGCTCGCTCGCTCTGATCTACCCTAGTACGGGAAAAAGGGAAGTCAGAGACAACTCACTGAAGTCGAGAAGTAACCGGCAGCCTCCTGCACAGACTTCTAGCGTGGTTCTAGCCTAGTTTTTTTTTCTAGGAGCGGCGAGAGCGGCGGTTTCTTTTCGGGGGAGGGGGGCTTGATCCTGTATCCACGTATAGAGCTGGAATAACTGCTAACGTTAGTAAGAGTAACTGAAAAGGAGAAGCAGGATTAATCTGTTTTGTACATGATATCAAATCACTCCAAACACACATTTATCTATCCTTCATGCCAATATTTAGGGTTTTAAAAGTAATTCAAGTGTAACCAAAACAAACCGTTTCGAATCTCCTCCAATCTTTTTACTAGCAGGTGGATACTCATGTGGGGATGGTCTGAAGAAGTTTCAGGGCCGCTGCTACAAGGCTTTCACCGAGAAGAAGTCCAACGCAGAGGCGAAGAGTGAGTGCTCAGGCATGGGAGGACGACTGGCCGCGCCTAAAACACCAGAGGTTCACGGCTTTCTGGTGGACCTTGCAAAAACAGAAGTCGGAAACGGCCAGGATGTGTGGATTGGGATCCAGAAAGAAGATGTATGGAAGTTCAGCGATGGCGGTGCTTTGGGGGTAAGTCATTTCTGGAAATATTGCATTTATGACTGTTTCCTAGAAAATTAGGGACTCTTTTTAACATGGAGATGCTGTTTTGTACCCCCTTTTTGCACAGGAATGTTCTTACTCCAATTGGGCACCGGGTGAACCCACGAATAATGCTCAGACAAAATGTGCGCAGTACTGGGCCGGTATCGGGTACAAATGGGACGACACTTACTGTACTTCCACCAAGGCTTTCATATGCCAGACTGGTGAGTAGTTCATTGTAACGTTATATAGATACACTGTTGCCTTACTTAGACAGTTCATCTGGGTAGAATTCAATCTGTGACAGGATTTAACAGTAGTACTAGTACCCTACACACACAAAGACTAGCATGGTATGACTAACATTACACGTATATTGTAATTATTACATATAACGTTGGACTACATTTCAGGAATTGCTATGTATATAACATGCATAGAAATATGAAAACTACATGTATTCTGTGGAAATACATGTACATGAATATGTGCACCAAAGTAAGTATGCTTCTGTTCAGTAGAACCTGTACTGAAGTGACAGCCAAGAGGATTTTATGTGTCTATATGATCAACTTGCTTTTCTGACAATCCAGGACCAGCAACATGCCCTGACGGCTATGGGAAATATGGAGACACCTGCTACAAACTCTTCACAGAGAAGAGGTCCTATCGCCTCGCTCATGCCACGTGTGTCAACGACGGAGGAAGGCTGGCTGCCCCAAAGACGGCAGGAACCAACGACCACCTGATTAGCCTGGCCAAGACTGCAGGAGGTGGGAACATGTGGATCGGTGTGGACAATCTCAACACAGGTGTCTACAAGTACAGTGATGGCACCCCGCTGAAGGTTAGACATCAGTAAATCCTTGGTAGCATATAATATTACCTGACATTATCTTGTTTTTTTACATTGCAGTGAAAAAATACTTTATGTGCATCTAGATATTAAGTTTTTTTGGTACTTTTTACCCGTTTTTATTCATTTTAATGGAAACCTTAAATATTAAGCAGCGATGGAAGTGTTAGATATTTATGAAAAGGACTTGTTTTATATTATGAATGTAAATGCTACCATTTTCTTAAAAAAAACTACGAAGTATTGTAATAAATTTTAACCTGAATAAACCATTCATTCATTCATTATGTAGTCTAAGCAGCCTTAAACCTATCAGCCTTAAATCTATCAGCCTTGAATCTATCAGAATTCTGTCTGGCAGCCTGACCACAATTTAATTAACAGGGTGTTTGAGTTGTTCCTAATGTTATTCAACAGGTTACTAGATTAAAAGCATTCTTATGTTAATCACAGAGCTGTGAGTATACCAACTGGGCTCCAAACGAGCCAAACGGCGCCGACTGTGTTCAGTTCTGGGCCGGCAGAGGGTACAAGTGGGACGACACTGACTGTTACCATGCGCAGATGTTCGTCTGTCAGATTGGTAGGTACACCCACATAGGCAAAGTTTGGCTGTACACTTGGGATTTTCTGTGTGATGAAATCATCTGATGTATATTTAGTCTTATGTGGCCCAGTGCCACTTATTTTATCTCAATCATGATCACGTGATCATGGCAACACAAAGACATTAGCTCATGTGTAATGTTATAATAGTAGTAGATAAAATCACTATAATAACAACCTTATGCCCGTCCTTTGTGCCATTGTTTCTTGTCTATCTAGACTGCCTACCATATATTTTTCTCTTTATTTAAATTCTATGTGATCATAATTATGTGCAATGTTACTAAAACTAGTTTTGTTTCTATAATACAGGACCAGGAGATGATGCTGGCTGCTGTTGAGTCTGTTTACCTGGTAGGGTTTTAGTAATCTTTTTTAAAGATTTGTGACTCCTAAATTTGTGTTTGTATTGTCAAGATTACAACAATTCTGCCTTAACTGTTGTTGGGTAAATCCTTCCTTCTAGCCTATTGTTAAGTTAAAGATCAAAACTCTGGTTCAAATTAAACTCAGTTTTATTGTGTCTAATTCAGGAGGATCAAACCATCAGCCAATAACTATCTGACTACTTGAGAAGGCTTGACAAGATATGCATTGCAAGTGACACATGCAAGAAAGATCTGGGCTACGCACAACAAATAACACAACAAGTACGTAAAATAGCACATTACAATGTCATATAAACTAAAGCTTGATGATTAAGAGATATTGTCACCAGTGCAGAGTATGTGAAAGTAAGCAATTCCTACACAATTACTGATTCTAGCAGTTTCTCTCTGCTTCAAACTATAAACAGCAATCCATAAAGGAAGAAGCAGTGAAAGGTGTGACCTTGGATTTCTTTTTTTTTCTTTTTATCATTTTTGATTACTCTTAGTAAGTCGAGACTTAAGGCAATTGGTGTATTTACTTGATGGTATCTGGGTAAGTTGTATTTTGTAAAGTAGGTTGCTAGGGTTTATATGATATTATTTAGTATCTACTTACAATAACAGCTACTAAAATGTTGTAAGCAATCAGAGCTGGTGTTAAGACGAAGATAGATTATTCTATCAATTTTTGAATACACCTTTCTTTTAAACACAAAATTCTCCTTTATACGTAGTATTACATATTATGTGATGTGAATTATCATACTCACAACTGGGTTTGAAGTATGTCAATGAATTTTATTTCATATTACCATTCTAACAGAATGATGAAAAATGTGATAAGATTCTAGCCTATCTTTCTGAATCAAACTGAAATAAATATGCAGATATATGTATCAAATGATAGCTGAATTGATATGAAAAAAATCACACATTTTATACATTTTATATAACACCCAAGAAGTTATAAAATAATCTCATATGACACCATAATAGGAAGTTGCTAACTAAAAGATTAATTGGGTAATATTCAAGTACTAAATACTTTTCCTACACTGAAGGATACTAGTAGTTTTCAAGAGTGTACCATAGGAAGCTAAATTGTTTATTACTAACAACTAAATGTTTAAATTCCATGGTAACAAGACAAGAGAAAAATACATTTTGTCAAATGTAACAGGGCTATTAGGCCACACCAATTTAATTTCTTGGTTAACGGATTCGCCGCTTCATTTTTTTCTGATTTGCAAATAAAAATAAAAATCCAGAATCAACTGGAAAATGCTCATATTTTGCCCTGAACAGTTGAAAACAGTCCTTTTCATCATAGTTGTTACAGTTATTCCATCTTTCAATGCAATGGTATCATTAAAAGTTCAAAATTCATTGTTTAAATTTTGAACCAGCCTGGCGTGTTGACTTCATTGCTCCTATCGTACCATTTTGGGCCATAATACGATGCCTAGTCCTGTTTTTATTTTTATTTTTTTTCGCCCGCCCGCTCCATTATTTTTCTAGAAAAATCCGTTAACCAAGAAATTAAATTGGTGTGGCCTTAGGGGATACTTTATAACAACACTTCTATAAAAAGTGAAATTTTTGGTGATAAATAAAGGCACTACAATTGTGGGAATGACTCATGTATGCCTCAGTTTTTGTAAGGCTTAATTGGCATAACATAGAAGAATATGTCTTCTCACAGATAGCAGCATCTATTACAGATTGTCTTCCTTTGTCACAAGGACTAGTGCATCAATGTTAACTGTGTTGCTTGCAGGGGTTTGGAGGGACAAAGTGTGATGTCACTGGTCCAGTTATCTTGGTTAAACACTGGTAACAGATGTTTGCGCGACAGGACCAGCACTGAAACAAACAAAAGTAAAACATCAAAAACATTACAGAATCGGATACAAGTTATTTAGAGAGGATTCAATACCAATTCACATTCGGTAAACATGGTGTGCATTTGGTCAAAACCTGGTCAAAACATTGGTTGGGTCATACCAAATACTTAAAAAAACATGGGGCATACTTCTTTCCCTGATTAGCACTCACTCAGCCCTTATGAGAGATGTAGTATTGACCACTAGCCCCTTGCTGTAGTGCCTGCACATATGTGTGGTCCAAGGGATTATAATGGAAACTACTAGTATTAGATGGGTGCCAACAATTGTGGAAAGAATTTCAAAACTGCATTTCTCTGGATGGACCACTTGTTATGTCCTTAATAACTTGCTGCATGAACCCCACCTTGATGTGATTGTTAGTCCCTGTCTTCAGGTTCCTCTGTCGACAGTTTGGGCAGTTCTTGACACGGTGGATGGCCTCAGGGTCCCTCTCCAGAGCCTCCTGAAGCCTCCTCATACCCTGTAACATGAACTTGACCTCACCAAAAGTTCTCAAATCATAGCCAAGAACTTGAGAATCTTTTCCAGTGTCTTCACTGATCATCCTTGGCAATCTGAATGTGATATGCTTTGAAAAACTCAAGAACTTCAAAACTTTAAGTCTTAGAACTTCAAGCTTGGAAAAGTAGGATGAAAAATATTTAATGTGTATATAAGTTAAATAAAAAAATTCCCATAGACTGATTGTAATCAGCATGAAAAACTTGACTGGGTTCTCTGTTCTCCCCCTTTAACACCCTCATCCCCTACCACCCCACCAAAAACCCCTATACAAACCTCAGGAACTTCCCGTTCTGGTACCCTGTAGAAAACAGGGGGTATGTACGGCTGGAACAGAGTACACTTTGATCCAAAATGGTCGTAGCCATCTATTTTCTTCAAGCAGAGCCAACAGAAGTATGTACCACACTGGGCACATGTCATCTTGTTGCACCTGGAGCATGGAATGGACACAGAAGCATGTGTAAATTACTTACTTTCTTCAAACTATTACCAAACAAGTAAAATAAAACAGTTTACTGAATTGTTCCCAAAGGTTCAACTGTGTTCGTAGAATTCATGATCAATCTGTAGTTTCCAACACAATCGAAAAATTGGGATTTATCCAAATTTTCAACTGTTAAAACAACATCTATCACTTCTATGACACACTTAGATTGATCCTGCTTCAGAAACCTAAATCATAGCTATAATACAAAGCAGCTTTTTCTCACCCAGCCTCCTTCTCAATGTTTGTCTTGCAATTTGGGCAGCGTTTGGTGGTTTTAGTGATGGTGACTTTGGAAAGCCTTTCAGCACGTAACCTGCTGATTAGTTGGGCTTTATTCATCAGCACTTTTGGGTCGCGGACGTTTTTTGCGGCAGCCAAGATTTCTTCCTCTGTCCCCTCACCAATCTCTCCTGCCTTTAGATAGGAACAATCGATCAAAACTGTGTCATTTAATTATGTTTGTCTTCATCATAGTCAAAGTAAGAAAGCATCATAGGCATGCAGCTAGCAGCAAGCTCTGAGTTTCAACAATCATTGACAACACCAAATGTGATTCTGCATAACAAGTGCCAGGAGTGATATTACCAGATAGCATTCTGCTGAGGTTGAATAGAAGTTTTACTCCAGCCAGTGCTCCAGCCAGCTATCTTACTGAAAGATGCTCCTGTTCCAGGCACTATCCATATTCAATCACAGCAACAGAGGACACAAGCTTGATGTAACGTCATCTGAATTAGTTCCTACCTTGTCACCTAGAAGTTGCTCGGTGAGATCTTTCAGCTTCTCCTCTACAGACTTGCACTCTCTGGACTGTAGAATTAATAGTAACTTCATCAAAATTAAACAACATTTAGTAGAACTAACTTCATGATATCCCCTCAAGCATGAAATATCAAGCACCACATATCTGACATACCTGAATTGGTGAAATGGCAGTGTATTTGCCTCTCAGCACCAAGAAGTCCTGGGCTCAAGTCCTGCCATGTCACCAATCTTGTGCCCTTGGGAAAGGCACTTAACACAACTTTTCTCACTTAACTCAGGTGAAAATGAGCATGCCAGAATGATCATTGTCATGATCATGGGCATTAAAGGAAGAAGAAGAAACTGTAACATTTATGGTATGTGAAACAAACAGTCATACAAACTGTCAAACATAAAGGGGAGATATTGACTTGAAATTGATGATCACCTGGTGCCAGGCATCCCCACAGGATGTACAGAAACAGAACAAACAGGATCCACACTGCGCAAGCTTGCTGTCCTGGTCAGAATCCCTGATCACCACATTGTTACATCTGGGGCACCACACAACATCATCCATCGTGTCCAACGTTTTCTGTCAGGGGAAGAAATTAGCACACATCAGTGTCTATGAAAGGACAAAAACAAGTTATGAACCTATAGATTGTATACAGACTGTTTGCCATGGTGTAGATACAATGTCATGTATTTAAACTACTGATACAGTTATAAAGTAAGTTTAAACTGTAATTTCCAGTGCAAGCACTTGGACTTGCCCAAATTGTGAACTGTATAACTCCAGTCTTTGTCACTTAAGGAATGAACAATTCACAACTTCTGTAATGTCATTGTGATGTCAATTTTCGTGTGTTGAAAATTACAGTTTAAACTTCCTTCATAATGACTTCTACCAACACAGATGAACTTTCAAGATACTGACACAGTTACATGCTTTGCTTACTTATGACCTGGTCAAATGCAATCACTCTATCCATTCTGTCTGCCTATCTTACCTGCAGTAGAAGACTCTCCCATCTCTCATACTCCTCATCTCCCAACACCTGTCTGATCACACCTGGAGGCAGGCTGCCATCACATCCCTCGTCTGGGCAGCTGAAAAAAATCACCTGCCATGTTACACCTGTCTGAGGGAGACACACCACACTAGGGTTATGTCTTGAGCTACAATTTCTTTTCCATCCCCCAGCAAATCTATGCTCACCTTCTGGTTGGAAGATGGAAAGTAATGTTGATTCTGATTGGCCAGAGCTGATACTGTGGTGATGATATACTTCAGACAAGTTCTGTTGGACTGTAGAAGTCACTGCACACTCAAGATTCAGATTCTTTTAAGTTTGAACCAATGGTGAACCTTACGTTACTTTGGGTTCTGGAGGGTTCTGAACCCAACCATTTTCACAGAGAAAGGTTCTGTCCTTGGTGCTGAAACGAGGAAAGTAGCTCTTTTGGATGTTGTAAAGTGATGACCAAAAGTACTGCTAGAAGCATGAGTTCATTTAGCCAGGTATCCAGCTCTACTTTACCTCCAGTGTATTGGCCATATCCTCTGCAGAGTGTAGAGCCAATAGGCTGTAGCTAAAACCATACAAGATGGATAACAGGCTAAATGATGATGTGAAAAGCTGAATCTTCTGACAAGAGTTTTTCTCACCTGATTTGTTGAACTGTTCCATCCTTCACGTGGATCTGGCAGTACCCAGCGACACATTCATGGCAGAAGAAGTGTCGGCACTCACTCATCAGGAAAAACTCAGCTCCCAGCTTCGAGTCAAAACAGATCCCACACTCCTGTGTGTTCCTTTGGAAGGTCTCAAACTCCTTTGCATAATTGACCCTGTGAATAGTAAATACATGGAAAAATATACAAACATATAATTGGAACACAAGGTAACTTAAGGCACCTCTAGATTGAAGCCTATTATCTCATGATTATAGCATGCATCCCTTGCATGTGCACTGTAACATACACCTGAAATTATGTGTTCACTGCATTTTTATGATGTCTTTAACTAAAACTTTAAGAGCTTTACACCTTAAATCTGAAATAAGATGGGTGATAGAATTATCTAAGACTGAGACATTCTGTATTGAACTTTAAGTGACCTGTTGACAAAGTTTCACAAAAGCTCAGGGAATGTCTGAGGTAACCTGAGTATCTCCTGAAGGCTCTGCACTGGGTCAGCCTGTTCTGAGGAGACTCGTGGGTCGCTCTGAAAATTGTCCCCCTCCTCATGATCAGGTGTGGTCCCTACACCAAACCTCATGCTCACCGGCATCAGGATAATGTAGTCATCCAAACCTAGGAATCTGCAAAAAATGAAGCCACCAACATTTCAAAACCTCCTCAATCCCATAGTAATATGTCTTGGTACTTCAGTGGGTTCAGTCTCCACCTGCAATTTGCAGAATTTTTTTTGAGATTGCAGAAAAAATATACTACTGAACAATTTGCGATACTCATAGGAAATGATATCTAGACTGATAAGACCTAGACTTAACATTATGAATCACATATTGCAGATAATCATTGTAGTCAAAGGTTTCGTAATCTGTAACTCACTGGATAGTACTACTCTGTAGCCAGTCCACCCAAGTGTAAATGATTGGCAGTCCCTTGGACTCCTCCCACAGTGCGTCCAGCTGTTTACACAGGGTGCTCAGTTTAGTTCCATCCAACCACAGGCAGCTGATGACAAAGCAGGGTGGGGCATGGCTGGGGTAGGTCAGAGGAAGGGTCACGTCAAGGGTCACGGGAGGCAGGTGGGAGACATTGAATGACGCGTGCCAACGTCGACCTGGAATTATACAGCAACATTTGATGTACAAATGTAAAGCACTTCATTATGTATCTGCAAGTAAATCATTTATGTCAGGGCTGAAAATGTTGATTTTTTCCGAAGTGCTGCATTTTGCAGTCATCTGCGAGCCTTCTCTTCCTTGCTTTTGTATGAACCTCCTTCTCTGCCTTACCTTATGAAACAAAGTCCCTGCAAACTTAAATCTAACTGCAAATTCCTGAAGCCTATAGCAATATGCCTACCTGACATGGACCTGTTGAACTCCGGCCTGCTGGTTGAAGCTGATGAACAGACAGCAGCTGCCTCAGCCTCCCTCACATCGCTGTCCCCGGGCAGCCACAGCTGTACCTCCAGCTGTCCCTTGGGCAAGTCTACAGGAACAGCAACCTGCAAGAACAGAAGAAGAAAACTATGTATTTTGAACAGTTAGCTCATTATGATATTATAAGGATTCCTGTCAGTTTCTTTGATAGTGCATGATAAAAGATCATAATGCTATGTAAAAACAGGTTGTTCTTGCCTTTATTATATATAACTTTAACATTATAAACATTACAAAAAAGGACAAATTTTCCTTACCGCGAAGGCAAACCTACTGTCCTCATCTTCCTCCTGATGTCTGCTCCTTAATGTAAAATTTTGTTCAAGAATAGACTCCAGGGCAAGAATCTGTAAATACAAGCAAATGGAACCAATGTTGCTTCCTGTATTGTCTTCCTCATTTTCCAAAGGAGGCAGTGGTAGCTACACAAAGTACAAGACTATACTATCGGGTCTATACGTTTTAATCATGTTTAAAAAAAGTGTTCCAAGGAACATATTTTCTCTTATGATCAGTATTTCATTTTTTGGGCCGTCCAGGACTCAAGCAAGTACAGCATTGCACTCATTATGCACCTGCCAAGATATTGCCCACTACATAACTTTTGGAGGTATGAAAGAACTGCAATACACTGGTTGTCAAATTTGCGGAGAGTTAGGCTGGTAGGTCGTCTGTAGGCAGTGATGGTGTAAAAGTTATCTTACGACTTACCTCGTCATTTTGTTCGTCGAAGTTGGCCTGTGCCTGCTCCTTCTCCATGGAGATACTACCATCATCAACAACAACAGCACTTCCGGGTTCGCCTAGTCCCTCCGCCATTCCAAGAGTTACGTCCTACCTACACGCAGATCACATAGAGAGTAGCTTAGAGAAGTGTATTAACAAACGATCGGAGTATACAGGTTGTCATCAAATGCATTTCTTAGCAGTATTCAAAGCCTACCTATTGCGTACATATTGCACAAAGCTGCTTATTTGTACGGAACAGTCCATGCAGCACTGGGGGGGCGCTTTAAAATGCTGAGATATTCGTAACGTTACCTAAAAAATTTAGATATTTAGCTTAAGTGGTGTTTGAGATATTTGATAATATTGTCGTCACCATATTACTTTAAAAATCACAAATGATTTGTTTTTTTAATAATAGTTTCTCCCAAAACACCCCTATTCCGTCTGCCATATAGATTATCCTAAAGTTGGCTAGCCAATTTGGCAGCAGAACGTAATTAGATTTTCATATATATTGTCGTGCACAGCAAAAATAGGAAAGAATAGACTCAAATACCCTTTGATATACCGTATAAAATTAATCTAAAACCTGCTGCATCGGTTTTTCAATTGCTAAGGATGTTCTCTTCTCTTGTTTCTACCTACGAAAAGTGTATTTCTCTGCCCTCAATGCGCCGAAGATAGAGCGACCTTTGACCTACACTCATCAGTTTGCTAAACCGAGATTTTCAAGACGCAGTTGACTTCCTGGATTGACCAATTTGTGGCAAATTTAGATGAAAATCTCCGCCTTCCGCGATGAAGAAGAACGGTAACGGAGTCGTGGCGGCGGAAAACGGAGAAGGGGCCCAACTCCTGGGTTCTGGAAGCGATTCTGAGGTGCAGGAATTCGCCCTACCCCCGAGGAAACCCGGCAAGGTATCTCGGAAGTCGAAGTAAGTTCTACGTGTCACCCTACAACTTTTAAGTGTCAGAATTTCTAGATACATCTGGATATATTTATAAACGAAAACAGAAAGTCGATTGGATCTGTGTGTTATTCTTACGTATTTGAGAGACCTCATGGGGTTATTATTAGATAAACAGATGTGTTTTCAATCAGTCACGCATCATTTTACAAATCGTCGCAACGTCGGAATGTAAATAAGTCTTTACAAACAGTTCATTGTGACGTCCACTTTCCTACTTAAGAGCCCGTAGATGTTTTCTAAACGTTCTCTGAAAGGGTTCAATCATGTTTCACACAGATCTTTCTGTGTTTAAATTGTTTTTAGGCAAAAGTTTTTTGTCATAGGGGCTATGACCATACTAGTAATAAATAAATGCAGTGTCGAAAGTGTCATGACCATGTGATCACCAAACCATGACATAGTTGGGAACTGATGAATGTCAAATTAGGAAACGTGGAATCTAGCGAGTTCTGCTTTTTCTAGATTAGATTAATGCTTATTAATTTTATCAATCATTCAATAATCAATTCTTATCACCACACATAAGTTTAAACTACTTTTGGTTGCTTTAGATTTTTGTGACGATCCAGTCATCAGCCACATCACCTCACCTGTTGATCCAGTTGTACATGTGTAGTACAATTGCCCTTTTACTATGTTTTAGTATTATTTGTATGTGTTCACTCATACTGCTAGTATTGGTGTCTGAACTGTGACTCACCCACCACACCTGTGAGCATTAAGAGCCTCCAGGTACAAAATATCCAGTAAAAAATTATGATGACAGTACCTAGGCAACTCCCTTATTTGCAGACAATGTGCAGAATTGCATGCAAAGTTGTGGTAAGTCAACATTGCATGTCATTTATATACATTTTGTGGGTCAGTTAGGTCACAGACTGTTATGTCTGTCCCTGTGTTTGGACATTAAACCACTCATTTCACAGTAGATATGCGTGATTTCACCTTTATCTTGTGTATACATGTAATAGGATACTTAGTAACAAAAAGTTAAGTGCCTCTTGTCAGCAGTGTGAAAATGCTTTCGATGCATACTTGATTGCCAACAAGTGTGCTTATTAGTAGTATCAAATGTCAACTACATGTACTAGTATTCAGGCATCAGCACTTAGAACTGAAAAGTCCCTACTTGGGTTCAAATGCTGAATTTATTTTCTGTCTAACCCACAAAGCAAAAAAAAAAATGTTATAAAAACAGATGAAAATATATTTGAATTTATAAATATTTTAAGACTGTAGGTTGTGTGCAATTTGAATTTGTATTGAAAGTTCTGCCAAATTTTACTACAGTTGTACATGACTTTTGTATAACTGCATGTACAAGTCATTTTCAATCTTGCTCTATCATATTTGTATTATGGCATACTGTACTTAATTCTACAAATGTTACAACTTTTGATTGTTTTTTTTTCAACATTTTAGTGCTCATCGGTTTTATCATTTTGAGAAACTATGGGAAAGTCCTTTCCTTTTGTGGCAGTGTAAACTAAACAAGGCATATTGATTATTGACACTAACGTTATATGTATTATTTGTCTGTGGTATGTAGGAAGGCTACAGTAAAGGTTCGGGATGTGGAGCCATCTCGAGGCAGCTGTTGCTCGTGCCAGCTGGTGTGCCATGTCTTCCTGTACCTGCTGATCATGGGAGCCATGGGGGCCCTGGCCTGGCTCTCATACAATATCAAAACTGAGATGGACCATCTGAGGAACAGAGTCATCACAAGTAAGGGTGTGGTGTGGGGATGGAATAAAGACAGAAAATAAGTTGCATGATTGAATGGGTACGGTAGATAGAGGAGTGGATAGATGGAAGGGTAGATAGAGGAATGGATGGAAGAATGTATATGCGCAAGGAATAAAAGAAAGATATTACTTGGATAAATGGATGGATGTACGTAAGAATGCTGCAGGCCCCCTTGGACATCAACTTTTACAACCTGAAGATGCAACCCAGCCATCCTGTGATGGACTGAAATAAGAATATTGCCAGACGGATGGATGTATGTAAGGATAGGCAATGAATAAAGGACAAAAATGCAACCTTTAAAAAGGTTAAAAGCAGCCAAAGGATTTTTATTAAAAAATGGATACTAGTTCCAATAATTATATAATTTTTCAGAAAAAAAGAAGTGAGTCTGGGTATCTAAATGCTTCTATTCTGTCAACTTTCATTTCTGCTTGACCAATCGGTAACTAGGGCAAATCAGTGACCAAGTGGGTAGAATGTTTGCCTTGCATTCTTTAGGCAGTGAGTTCAAGTAATATGACCAAGGAGGTTATAGGGGAAAGAGTATTGTACTAATTTGTAGTTAAACACACACCATTACCAGTTGACTAGCCCACTGCTGTAGAGATAGCACTACTATTGAACTGAAGATGGATACCACCCTATACACTATTTTGGATGGACTTGAATGGACACTTCTAGAATTCTCTCTTACCCAAGGGACTCAGTATTAGTACATGTACCTGGAGGTAAGTACAACTATTATGGTTTAATGTTGGAATTGGTCACAAACCTGTTATTTCAATGTTCAAGTCTGTTTTCTTCATATTTAGTCTACCGACCCTTCTATATATTGTGCAGGTTCCCTTTGCTTTCTCCCTCTATTTGTTTTGAACACAAGGGCATGTGGGCAGAGACCACAGGCATTATTGAATTGGCCAGGTGTTTTTGTATACACACAGCGCTAGTCTGTTAGTTCATTGAGACATCTTACAAATAAGAACATTGCACCACCCATTATATTGTAGGCTTTTGTTGGCGAAAGTTTCGAACGTAATGCCTTAATAAGGTCGTTGCTTTTTATAATATGTTTATACAATACTTTATTCTAATCCTATAAAGCCCAGGCATAGTATCTTGGTACTCACATGCTTTTTAATGGTCGAACAACAAGGTGTTTTTCAAAGTTTGTTGAACTTCTATTGCATTTAATGTTATATGTGTGCAAACTTTTTGTTACTTTTCATAATATAATATCATTTGCAGTGAAATACTTGAACTTAGTTTAGTTTTACGTCCAGTATGAATTTCGTCATGAGCTGTATATTGCTTGGTGACTCCAGTATGTAGGTATGCAGGTGTGCATTGCTTTAGATACAGGTATGACATTTTGTGGTCACATGATCATTAAATGTCACCCCAGGACAGCCATCTTGGGCTGTGCTTGCTAACTGAAAGGGAGCCTGTGATTGGTTACCATGGTATGCTGGATCTGCACAGTTTATATTACAAATAATTATTTTTGTAAGGTTGTGGGAAGTTTTATGTTTGTATTTTTAGGAGAAATAAATATCTAGCAGCAGATTGTAGTGAGAAGGGGGAGTAAATCCTTCTCCGATTGCTTCTAACACATTTTGAAGGAAGCTTTATTCTTGTGGTCACCTTTGACCGTGACCAATCAGCATCGCGTTTACATGGACGTACGTGCTTGACGCATCAGCGATTTTGTTGTGAAATCTACGTAGCAGAAACACCCGGATTTTGAAGTACAGGTGCAATCGTTCAGGATATATCCCCTTTCTGGTGGATTAGCCACCCAGATCTTGCCACCGTGGATCCCAAGGACACTAGGCTGGATGTCTCTTTCAAAGGACCCGGAAAAAGGATGAAGAAACGGAAGGAATTGGACGCCCTCGTCAGCGGCAAGTTGACGAAAAAGAAGCGGGAGGGACACGAACTCTTACGGTCCACAGGCAGCGATTCGTCCGATCTGGAGGAATTTTCTCTTCCCGTTAGAAAAGCAGGTTTCTCAAAAAGGCAAGGAAAACACGTTGTAATATTTACATAGCGTCAGCGTTGTTGCGGTAGTGCTATTTCCCTCGATTTACCTACTTACATATGGGGGAGGGGGGCGTCGCCTTCCGCGTTCTTGAAGTACAAAATATTATGTACCTAGATCGCCAGTTACATAAAGTTGACGTTGAAGCACTACTGTATTTTTCTACTCCTTTGATGATTTAAAAATCTGACGATATCTTGAAATATTTTTAGAAAGTAGTCATTTTCTGCTCGTAGACAACAAAATTTAATTTCTGCTAAAATTATTCCAGTTCCTGGTTTCGTTTGTAGATCGTTGGCATACTGTTGATTTGTAGAGTAACAGGCACCAAAACAACTTTGAATAATTTATGATATTGGAAAAAAATAAAAGAACAGAAGAAACTAATGTGGTATGACTTATGAAGTATTAATAGTATTAGTATTAATATATTGTAATTATATTTTCTAGGCATGCTAAATTAATTTTCCACTTATTCCCAAAATACTATAATGATTTAATTTGATTATCAGAGAAGAAAAAACGCTTGCTTTGGACAGGAACAAGGTCCTCAACAGGCAATGCCCCATATGCCTATGATCGTATTCTTTTGCGGTACTTTTAAAAGTCACTTCTGCACCATTACCGTGATTGTCCGTGAACAAATAGTTCGGCAACTTTTTTTTTGCCACACCTGTGGCCACCGTGAACTTATAGTTCCGTGAACATGTAAATTTTTTTTTTACCTTGAACTTTTGCCACTGCAAACATTAAAATGATTTTGCAGTATCATTACAAGATGTAGTTTTAGTAAGCGAGCGGTTGTGTTGCCCCTCAGACATTCCAGATGCAGGTTGTGTACGCGGTCGTGTTTCCCTCTCTGTATATTCGTGTTGATGACGGCCTGTATCATCACCTCCGGCGGACTGGTCTGGATGCACCTTGACCTTAAGAAGGACCTGGACAATCTCAGGGAACATCTTGCCAGAGGTACTTAAGTGGACACCATTCATTATCTAGTCTTTTAGTCCATCTGTCTACTGTCATTTATATAATAGTAATGGCTTGATAATTTATTCACAGGTTACATTCACATGCCATAACACTTCTAGCAGCCAATTGGGACTTTTAGCAGGGAGAAGTATAAACTTGTATTACACGAATTTTTATTTTTTTTACCCATCAGGACCTTTCTCTGTTTACCCAAACATAGGTACATGTAGTTACTAGTATTCAATCAAAGTTACAGAGTTATCACATGTTTATCGATAATCATTACTTCGTGGAAAATATACAATGTATGTATGTGTATGTGTTTATTGCCTTGTCATCTGCATGATTGGTTGCTGGCCTACTGAGATCAGGTACTGAGGTTGCAACATTGTCAACAAGCACCACCTATCAGTATTTGTATGAACCTCAGGTATTATGTGGTGTTAAGAAATAATTGATATATACAATGTTTATGAATTGCATAATGCGGTCTGACTGATAGTTCAGAATAGTGTCAAGAAAAATCCTGTACAAATGTTAAACTGTAGAAGTTAAAAAAGAGACCTCCTTGTATCAATTTTAAAAGGATGAAGTTAATTGTTCATTCCTCCCTGGTAAATGTAGCTGCTACATGTATGTATGAAAACAGAAACTATATGCCATGCACTAATGCCCTCTGCTGAATTCTGTCATTACTGCAGTATCATTAGACAAGACCCTAAGTGGTCATAAAAATCACATGTAGTAGTTTAACCAATAAGAGTGTCGCTGCATGAAGATTTGGTCCTGTGTACAATGTGTGGTGGAGCTTCCAGGGTAAGACCTGTGGACTAAAAAGAACTCAATGCAATCATCAAGATTAGTGTAGGGATGACCCAGTGTGCTTGGCTGAAGAAAGGTTTTGAAACCAACTGTAGAAAAAAAGCATTACACTTTGCCTCATCATTGTGGATAGTTGCTTTTGAACATTTTTGGGTTGGGCTGCCCTAATTGCAGTATCTGCTAGGTGGCTCTGTGCCACCAGTTTGCTTGTCAGTGGTACTTATATTTTATGCATAATGTACTAGGCCTTAGCACTACTAGTATCTTAGTACCCCCTAGTATCTCACTCTAGTATCATCCTGCACTATACAAGAAAAACATCTGTAACTTGTCCCATGCTTGCTCCTTGGTTTATTTTTAGGACTACCTACTTGAACTGGAATTTTAAGCTCAAAATTTTGTGTGGTGTGATTTCAACTCACAAAATGTATGCTATTATGTCAGTCCTCGATAATTTGCTTGATGAATGTTTAAATACAGTTGCTGAATCTGTAAGAAGGATATACATGTACTGATGTAGCCTATAGTGGTGTTGATTGTATTCCATTTCTTTCCTGTAGTTAAATCTCACGGTGCCTGAATTCACGCGCAGTGCCGGTGTCTTGGGGAAAAAAAGATCACACCTTTTTCTCAGACACCTTTCTCCCACCTAATGGATAAATAAGCCCAGATCTCATTACCCCATGTGAAAGCTTTCAAACCTTGCCTTTTGAGTTCAAAGTGTTTTTCCCTTTCATTTTCTTTTTAGGACAGAATGGGTTGTGATGTTTCCTACTTTTGATAGATTTTTCAACTCAAGTGACCCAGATTTGCTATTGATTATAGAATTTGAGAGGAAAGTAGGATCTCAAAAAAGTCACATGGGATATGCCCCCTTTCACACATAATAGCTTCACTAGATTTGATCAAACATTAACTTTAAAAAAGTATTTAAAACTACAATGTAGTATGGAATCTATCCCATTCTAATTCAAGCCTGTACCTCTTAACCTAAACATAGAATACTGCAAGGCAGCTCAAGTGCTTTACTGATCAATACATTCAATTTGGGCCACTTATGCTCTGTAAATTGTCCTGATTTTTCAGGGGGCCAGGAGGGACAAAAGAACCCTAATAATGTTGTCTTTACTGTAGAAAGTACATTAGGGTTATCTGAGTCAAGCTCTTGTTCTAACAGGATTCTTTTTTAAAATAAAAAGTTTCAGATGGTGGGAAAAGTACAAATGTCCCATTCTATTAAATGCCTGTATCCTGGGATCCTTTTAAACTCCTCTCATCTAATCCTAACCATATAGGATATTGCAAGGTACATTTGTACAAGGTACAAGGTGCTCATGTATTTCAACCTCAGTCTTTAGATAGTGTGGTAGAAAAATGGGGACCTTCGTACTGTGAAAATTTCCCTGTTTTGTTAGGGGGAAAGGAGGACTTCAGGTATAAAACAACCCTTGTCTTTTAACTGCAGAAATTACATGATGTAGGTTAGTACAAAGCTGAATCCCACTCATGTTTTAACAAGGATTCTTTTTACAAGAGAAAGTTTCAGAAAGCTTGTAGTAAGGCCACACCAATTTAATTTGTTGGTTCTCGGATTCGCCTCTTCATTTTTTTCTGATTTGCAAAAAAAAAAATTTGATTCTGGTCCTGAATCAACTGAAAAATGCTCATGTTTTGCCCCCAACAGATGAGGAAAGTCCTTTTCTTCCTAGTTGTTACAGTTTTCCCATCTATCATTGCAGTGGTTTGATTAAAAGTTCAAAATTCAATGTTTAAATTTTAACCCAGCCTTTTGTGTTGACTTCATGGCTCATTCCATAGCATTTAAGCTTATAATAGGATGCCTAGACCTGTTTTTATTTATTTTTTTTCGCCCTGTCGCTTCAAATTTTTTCTGAAAAAATCCGAGAACCAACAATTTAAATTGGTGTGGCCTAACCTGCAGATTGTACATCAAAAATTCTTCTCAAAGCTAACAGGATTTTTAGATTGTCTTATGTATCTAGGTTGCTGACGGCTGCAAAGTGCATTAAGCTCCGACTTCTCTCTGACCCCAGATTTTGCCAACAATGTTATCTTCAAAGCTAGGTGTCTCCATTTAAGGTAATGGGGGTAATTAGAACGCTGACGGCAGCAAAATTCTTAAGCTCACTTTTCCCTGACCCAAAATTTTAGCAACAAATCTTCAAAGCTACTTCCACTAGTCAAGAGGGTGATCATTTAGGGTATTTAGGTTGCTGATTTCAGCTATATATGCCAACTCGTGCTGACTTCGCATATGGTGATTACATATATTATCTATCAACTAGATGTAGTTTCAACACTCAGATTTTGGGATTATTGATTTATATTCAAAGTTTCTGTTATTACTAATAATCCAGATTTTATGACCAATTACTCTGCCCTATAGGCTGTACAATTGCCTTAGTAGCACATTCAGTCTCAGTGTTCGGATCACGTAGGCTACTGAATTTTTGTTGAAATCGGTGTGATATTGTAAACATGCTATCATGAACTTGGTATTTCTGATTTCATAGAATCATACATAAACACAACTGTGAATCCTGTCTGCTAAAATCAGGCTGAAACAGGATTTTAAAAAAATCATATAAACGGATACCGGCGAAGTCACTCAAAGATTGCTGAGAGCCGAATAGCAACTTCCAAACACTTTGCCAACACTTTGCCAACAGATTTTTCCTAACACTTCAATTACAATTTGTCTGGAAGTGTCTTACCAGTACATGTACTATGTCAGCAAATGTTTGGTACATACCAAATTGTTGAAGTCTAGACAATCCCAGTTGTATGGTATGTGTATTGAGATCTTAACGACCTTAGGATTTCTCAAGGTCAGTCAAGCAGTTATAACTGGAAGATCGTGCCGTCCTTGACTTGTAGGGTTCTCTGATAACATCTGCCCAGCCTCTCATGATCCCAGCTGAAGCCTAGTCTAGACTATCCCAGTGGTATTGACAAACTTGCAATTTCTCAACTTCACCACTAGCACTGAACTATGTCCTGAACTGAAGGTTGATGCTATCTAGGGCCTGAGGTACCAACTGTGTGTGCAACTGTGTGTGTTGGCACAGACAGTGCAGGTATTTCTGTTGTACAAAATTGCATGTTGCCAACCTTGCAATGTTGTATGGACAAAACTGTGGCCACATAACATGGAAGCCGGCACTTGACGATGCCCGATGGCTTCATTTTGCCGAACGGATTTTGCAATCTATGGGAGGTTTTAGTTAGTTTGGAAAGAAAAGGGGTATGTGACATGTTTTTTTTTTGTAATAAGTCCGGAATCGGTTCTTGACTTATAGGTTTTTTTGGACTTGAAGCTAAAAATTTTACAAGTCTGGAACCGGTCCAGCACTATGTAGGGATAACATCTGCAAAGCTTACTGTAATCCCTGTGCATCAGAGAGTGTTTGTAGAGAGGCCTCCAAGGAAATTGAAGTGATGACTCCAATCCAATATCTTCCTGTCCTTCTCAGTGTTCAGCCTGTTTGATATTCTGCGTCTCATTTCTTCACCTCTCCTCCATGATAGCTCCAAGGAACTTTGTAATTAGTTTCACGCAGGAATTTACCACTTAGATATCAAGCATTGTTGTATATAGGGATGACTGATTGTGTTTTCCCCTGTATCTGTGAGTTTGTTATGTGTTAGAGCCTTGTTGCAAATCCTGTCATCCGATATTTGTTGACGGTGTCTGAAATGAAAATGAATTTTTAAAAAAATGTCATCTCCCTGTCCTTGGTGCTGAAACAGTAAGCACATGTTGTTAGTGAACATTATTAATGCTTTTGTTCCTTTTTACAGTTTTCTTTTTCCAAATTGTTGGAAATGTCTTGCTGCACAGCTATTCTGGCAAGTACTTAGAACTTTGACATATTAACACTAAAATTATATAGTTAATACATTGTAATTATATAGTTAAATTTTTCTTGGTTGAAAAGTACATTATGTTGTTACCAAAGTCATTTAGTTTTTGAAGATGGTAAAGTAGGTATATAAATTCCAATCACAGGTAAAGAATAAACATATTGAAAGTCCAGGTAAAAAAACAACAACATTTTGTCTCCGTGTCCTTGGTGCTGAAACAGTAAGCACATGTTGTTAGTGAACATTATTAACACTTTTGTTCCTTTTTAAAGCTTTCTTTTTCCAGCTTG